CTGTTCCCGAGTACGTAATATTTCAGATTCCTTCTTACCAAGCCTGTCTGTAGTAAAATCGTCCTCTTTCTAGTGCTCCATTTGACACATATGTGCAGAGGTTGCCACTTGCTTGTTTTCTGAAGGCAACTGCAGGAGGTACATCAACAGATAGACTCCTGGGTTAATGAAGGCAATGCACTTGGCATTTTTGCAACACAGGAGTTTCTTCTCTGTCTTTCCTTTGTTAACATTGATAGGTGGTCCTCAGATTACATAGACTTGATTTTCCCACTTCTTGCATATTTGCATGATATACATAGACACTGCTAAACTCCCCTTTTGGCACATTTGGTCTAGTCTACATTAACTAACTATGGCGATGCTTTGGTGATGTCACACAGAAGCACTGTCAGTTTACTCACTGGGGAGGACCAAGTCTTACCCCCACCCCACCGCATGCACCTTATGAGGCTCCTAGGAGTCCCAGGAGGGCCACCTTGCAGACTACATGTCCCCTTGCCCAGCATTACCTCTCCTAAGCTCTGATGAAGTTCTCACTTTCCTGGGGTGAAACACATTAGCATCATTTAAAATGGTAATTAGCAATTAGATGTTTTCTAGTTTTGTGAAAAAACTTCTGACTTATAAATCTATGGTTTTATTTATTACACAGGTATTTGGGAATATATACTTATAAAAGCAAGTTGCTGCCTAAATTCCTTTGGTCTAATCATAAAAGTAAAAATGTTTAAAAATTAGAAAATGCTATCAAGTATAAATATCATTATCACCCATCATACCTCCAAGGAATAACTACTGATAATATTTTGGTGTGTTATCTTCCAGTCTTTTTTCTTTGCATGTGTGTGTGTGTGTGTGTGAATGGTATATTGTGTATTAAAATTATAGAATACATTGTATCCTTTTTACACTTAACGTTATATCATGAGTCCATATTAAATATACTTTGAGCAATGAACTGTCACAGATTCAATCATTATGAAGACAAAAATAACATTTGGGTGACTCCTTGAGCATATATATCGTCAGCAGTCAGTCTCTGACAATTTTCCTTGGTTAGATTCTTCGTAATAGATTGAATCCCATAGTTTATATTAATAGTTCATGCACATTTTGCACTTTACTCCATAGTAGACCCATTTGTTTTATAGAGAATATTAACTCTTCTGTAAATCTTGAAATAAAATTAATGGGCTCTATTTCTCCTGCAGTATTGGTATTCCCTGGTGTACGAGTGAAGTCCTCCACTGGGGAAGCCCTGACACAGGACTGAAGAACTAAAGCTGTAGATAATAATTAATAGTCTTCCTTTGAGTATAGCAGTGATTCCCTCAACCTTGGCTACACATTAGAATTATCTGGGGAACATGTTAAAAAAAAAAAAAAAAGAATGGCAATGTCTCACACTAGAGCAAATGAATGTGAAATTCTCCAGATGATTCTAATGTGTGGCACTGGTTGAGAAACACTGGCCGAGAGCAGTGGTTCTTAAAGTGCGGCCCTTGGACCAGCAGTACCTGAAATATCTAGGAACTTTTAGAAATGCAACTTCCTAGACCTTGGCCCACAGGCACTCAATCTGACTCTTTGGGACTAGGGCCCAGCAATCAGTATGTTTCAAGAGGTACTCCAGATAATCATGATCTGTATTAAAGTTTAAAGACCACTGGCCTAGAGTATTCCTTGTGCATATTCGTAACCCAGGAATATAGCCCACTTAACCAAACTGGGAAACTTACTAAAGAGTTACAGAATCTGGTGTCAGATAGACTTGAATTCAAGTTTCTGTCTGCCATTGACTAGCCACATGATCTCAGGCAAGTGAATTAGCCCCTTTCATGCTCAGTTTCACCATGCAGGACATGGGGATAACATTAAACTTGTATCTACCTCATTGAGTTATTACGAGGATTAAATGGAAAAAAATAATGAAAGGTAGTTTGCAACATAGGTAGAGCTCAATAAGTATTTGCTATTATCATTACCCATCAGAGATACTATTATTAGTGGTCAGGAGGCTGGGAAGGAAGCTTCAGAGGTGGAGGAAGCCAAGGGATCTGGTGGTTTGAACATCCAAAACAGATGTTTGTTTCCTGACTCTTCTCTTGGATTTAGATTACACCTGCCGTTGGCATGAACAAATGAGTCTCCCAGGATGAGACAATAAATCACTCTCTCAGGAGCTGTCTTCAAACTGTGGATGTACTGAAAATATATGGCTAGAGGCAGAGGCTTGGTCATCTGAATGTGAGAACTGCCAGGGGTGGGAGGAGTGGGGAGAAGGGGTGGGAGGCCACTATTACCTAGACTGGTGTTCTCAATGGGGGCTATAAGAAGCACCTGAAGGGCTGATTAAAACACAGATTCTTGGGGGGCACCTAGGTGGCTCAGTTGGTTAAGTATTTGTCTCTGGATCAGGTCATGATCTCAGCAGGGTCCTAGGATCGAGCCAGGAGTTGGGCTCCCTGCTCAGCGGAGAGTCTGCTTCTCACTATCCCTGTGCCCCTCCCCTTGACTCATGTGCGCATGCATGTGTACTCCCCTCCTCTCTCAAATAAATAGATAAAATATTTAAAATAAATAAAACACAGCTTGCTGGGCTACACCCCAGAGTTTCTGCATGTTTGGGGTGGGATCTGGGTTTTGCACTTTTATCAAATTCCCAGGTGATATTCACATAGTTGGTCAGACCACACTTCCCACGCTAAACTGAAACTTCATGAAGCTGATAGGCAACACTGAATTGCGACCGATAGAAATTTAAGAAAGGAAGAAATGTTCTCTAAGACATTTGCATTTCCTCTGTAAAATTCAAATTCCTTTTGATGTGCTATTTAGATTTGCTTCAGAATAGGACTGGCCAACTTGACAGATGTGCTGATGGTCACGTTTCATTTGAACCCCAGGTCCCATGCAAGGTATTGGAGAGGTAGGGTGATGGGTGGTTGCAGCCCCTAAGCTTCTCTCACAGGTGGCAGTGGTGAGGGGGGCCACTAATCATTCCCAGTTATCATTCCCACCAATCATTCCCATCCTCCCAAGAAATCAACCCACACCAATCACTTGATATACTAAGCATCTGTGTACACAATGTCATCCTTTCCACAATCCTATGAGGTAGGTATTACTTATATCCCCACTTTACAGATGAAGATGATGAGCTCAGAGAGGTTAAACAGATGTTCTGAAGGCATATGGCTAGTAAGGGTCTTCAGAAATCAGACCTAAAAATATTTCCCTTTCTTACCCACACAGTGGGTAGAGGAGTCCTAGCTTATAGAATGAAAAGACCCTGTGTATGGCTGAGAACAAACCAGGCATTGTTGGCATATGGTCACTCTGTATCTGAGCCAGGGCAGAGCTGAGACACTGGAATGGACTCTGCATCTGGGTGTAGGTAAAAAGGGCATACATAGTCCTTATTCTTATTCACCTGCCCTCCAGCAAGCTCTGGTCCCACCATCTGGACCAGCTGAACAAGAGGCAGAGTTGGCCTCACCCTATCCAGTTCCCTGATAACCACCCTCAAGGATGTGGCCAGGATGATGATATCCATCCCCAGTCCGGCCCTCCCTCAAAGGGACACAGTCAGTGTTTAGAACCAGAAGCATCCATCAGAACTAGAGTTTAGCCCAGCTGAATGACCATGGGGATGAAAGCTAGGGATTTCTGTGGCAGTCTATTCATGCCTCTGGCCCACTCTTTGGCTTTCTGCTCTAATCACCCAGCCCCTACCAGCCCGGCTTCATTCCCTGATCCAGAACCACAACTAGGGGACTATATGCATCTTTGGGTATAATATGACAGGGCAAAGGCAGAGCCTGGACAAGTGATTGAAGTGATAAGAGAAACTGAGGTCTTATCACACAGGGAGGCTAAGAGAAGACTGGAAAGATAGGATTCAAATACTGAAAGGCTGTCATTTGGAGGACAGCAAGGGAAAAGAAGGCAGCAAGCCATTTGCCCATGGCTACAAAGCTGACAGGCACTGGAGTGGAATTCAAGCCCATTTCTTTCTGATTTCCAAGTCTGTTCTCTTTGCACTACTCTCTTCTGCCTCCTTAAGGTCAGAGGCAATCCCTTTCTTCTTTAGGTCACTGCAAAGATAAACTTTTGTTTTGCCAGAAGTGTCCGAAAGCGGGATGCACTGCTTCAGGTGATGCTGAGCTTCCCACGCAAGGAGGTGTTCAAACAGAGGTCACTGCTTGTGGTGTTGGTGGCGAGGGAATCCACGCAAGAGAAGGTGGTTTCCATCACTGGCCACCTGCGACAATCACCTACATCTGTTAACAGGACAGATATCCAACTCCCCTTCTGATCTTCCCTGAGAATTGGTAATTTTTCAAGGTACATTCAGGGAACTGTTAGGGTCTCCTTCACCTCTGAGATCCTATGACTGTAGAGATTCTGGTGTAAGAAGGCCAGCTGTAGGGCATCAGTGTGATGTTAACAGTGGCAACAACACTAGCTAACTGTTGAGTGTTCAGTGCCAGGACCTGTGTATTATATCACAAAGTCTTGGCAACCACTCCTCTGGGCAGACACCACTGTCATCCCCATTTCCCAGATGAGAAATTAGGGAAACAGATTAACTTCCCTGCCCAAAGTCACACCACAAGGAGTTGGTGGAGCCAGTCTGTGAGTCCAAGAAGGTTGGCTCTAGATCTTTACTCCTAACCATAGGAGAAGGCACCAAATGTGACCCTATCCAAAGCCATCCAATCCAGGGCAGGTTCTGAATGAAACCTACCAGTGGTTAATCTCCCAAATAACAATAACTGCACAGTACAGGAAAACACCAGGAGTGAAACCGATTCAGACTTTAAAATAACCATAAGAACTAAGTTACAGAGCCCTCAAAGTATAAAGCCTAGAAATTTCTTTGTCTACATGTATTATGTTGGGTTTTTAAAATTTAAACTTTTCAATGCAAAGGGCATCCAAGTAATTTGTTACACCATTCCTTCACTTCAAAACAAAACTGGCTCCTTAAAAATGATTTTATTCTGTCATGGAGTGCTCAAACAAAATGGCATAAATATATTGACTCAATGGTTAAAACATTAACTCCAGTGAAACTCCTGATGTGCTAATTCAACAGAACCTACCAATGCCTTTCTGGGAAGAGTTGGGTCCCCACCCCCTGCTTGCAGAATGTGCTCAAATCCTGCCCCTGCCCTGCCATGGGTCTAAGGGCCATGGGTGTAAGAGTCACCACGTAGGAGTGAAGCTTTAGAGCAGAGCCTTTCTCAATCAAATATGTTCTCCTTTCCTCTTTCTGGGCCAATCTCGAGGTTCAGAAGGGCTGAGTGCAGAAAGAGATGGGATCTTTACACTCTGAGTGCTGAACTCACTGGGGACTTTCCAGGTAAATGCCCTATTAAACTAATCCTTTCATTAAAGTTGGTTCTGGTCTAGAAGTCAGGAGGAGTGGGGTTGGTTCATCTTCTGACTGCCACTCCCTCTTCCCTCCAGCATTGCCAATCACCCTAGTTCTTGCTTCCAGCCCAGGCCTCTTAAACTATTTTTGTTATTTAATAATCCTCTCTCTCAAAGTTGCTAACGCCTTTAGAGACTGGTTAAAACTCACAAGTGAGAATTGGAACAGTGTGAGTGGTTTCAAGCAGTGAGAGATGTCTGGACTTTTTCCCCGCTGCCTATGGAAGTTCAATGGAAGCTGTGGGTAGGAAGAATATAGCCAATGTCACCCATAAATTATCTGGGGAATACCAATTCACATCACCTCTCACCAGACTAAGATCCGAGTGACCTTTGGAGGAACTTGATTAACCTCTGCAGGGTTTCAGGCTCCTAAGCTGACAAACAAAGAGGTTTGGCTGAGATCAGACTGTCTCAAACTCTTTACCGCTGGGGCTGAGATGCTTCCAAGTTGGTGGGGTACAAGGGACCTCTTCTTCCACCTACTTATCCATTTTGATGTTCATGTTCTGTGTAGAATTTGACAAAATTACAGTTTGAAAATTCCTAGCCTAGGTGATTTCTAAGGTTCCTTCCCGACCTAACATTCTACGGTTCTGAGATGCAATTTTCACAGAAAGAGACAGCTGTCTCCTCTTGATGTTGCCCTTCAACCCACGCTGATCTGGAAATTGTTTAAGGGCTCATATCTCTTCTCTGGAGTCCTCAGAGCTACAAATTTTGCCAAATGACTGAGAAGCTGCCTCCATCTTCTGCACATCCTTGGACCAGATGGGACCCTCAGTGTCCCTGAAATTCTGTTGCATGCTTCTGCAAACCAAGCCAGCTGCAGACGGCAGGTGTCTGGAAGGAATGACCGCTTCAGGCATCACATCCAGGCTGGGCCCCTCATGGCACTACCTGGTTTGTGATGGAATTAAAGACAGTTTCCTCTCAGGTGTTGCTCTGGGATTTCCAAGTCCATGAAAAGGTAATATTAAATTGGTAAGGGGTAGGCATAACTTGATAGGACTGGGTATTCTCAATCTAAAGCCTTGGTGTCAAAAAGCAAGGATTCATAATTCTAACTTCCCTTCATTCCAGCTTATTTCACGTTGCTGGGCCTCAGCTTTTCCATAGATCAAAGAGGTGATGAAGTGACATTGTGTGTGTTGATGGCGTGGCACAGTGTCTAACACTGAAAACGTTATTATCTATTATTGCTGCCACTTTGTACTAAGTGAACATTTGGATTGCCTTAAAATGCGATGAATAATAAAAGAAGACAAATTAAGAGGCTCAAAGTTACCTAGCTGTGTGGATACCCACTGCTTTAGATATCAAATCAATTCTCTTTCCACAGGGCTTCTCTGCCTAAAGTTCCAGGCTCCCCACAACACACCAACCAGATTCAAGTGTTCCCAGTTATTCCCATGCTCTGACTCATTCTTTACACCTAGAAGCTGGAAAGTATGTACACTGTTCAGAAGATCAAGGCCAACCGTCCCCCAACTCCTCCACCCCCACTCTTGTGGCTTAAGGCAGAGAAACCACCTAATAAATCAAGGTATATTATGCATTCCTTCATGCTGATTCATACAAATAGCTCCTTAGCTCCTACCTGGGCTGAAAAAGATAAGACCAAAAATTCTATGAACTTTGCCTTCCCAGGACACAATAAAACCCAGTAAGTGTGAATCTCTAGTGATATGTGGTTCTTCAGTGTACCATGAGAGATGAAGGGATACTTAGGGGCCACTTAGAATGTTACCGCTATAGAGCAGAACTGGCATAAACAGGGTGCTCATTGTCTCCCAGTGATGTGAAATTAGCAGTTTCCCTCCCCAATCCTACTGAAAGCCTCACAGCAATATCATGAACTTCCAGGATGCGGTACTGCTACATGTCCTTTATGTGTTAAACATATAAACAGTTAAACAAGCAAAACTTCAATTACGTGAGAAGGTAACAGAGGAGGGGAGAACAAATTGATTAAGAAGAGAGAACAAATTGATTATGTGGAGGGAGAAGATCTTCATCAATATATAGTGACTGCACGCCAGGCACTATTCAGGTTCTTTTTTTAGATTTTTTTTTTTTTAATTCATGAGAGACACAGAGAGAAAGAGAGGCAGAGACACAGACAGAGAGGGAGAAGCAGGCTCCATGCAGGGAACCTGATGTGGGACTCGATCCTGGGACTCCAGGATCACGCCCTGGGCTGAAGGCGGCGCTAAACCACTAAGCCACCCAGGCTGCCCTCAGGTTCTTTATAAGAAAGGTAGGAAGGTGAAGTAGCAAGAGCGTGGATTTGGGACCCAGCCTGTCACATTCACATCCTGGCACATGGTTACTGGGACAAGTTATATAGTCTCTCTGCATCTTGAAGGTAATAACAAAACCTCACTCAGAGCACTTCCTAAGGATGACACAAATTCCTATGTGTTGGTGCTTTCACGACACAGCCTGGTGCATAGGAAGTGCTGTAGAATGTGCAGTTTTTCATAAGGTTTCTCATTTAATCCCTCCAACTCATTCTGATCATTGTGAGGCTGGTAGGGTATAAGCTTTATAGTTAAAGAAACCTGGACACAATTTATCTAGAGTCACATGGGCAGTAAGTGGAAGTTTGGGAATTCAGACTCAGCCTCAAATGATTCCAAGTCAGTTAGATAAATAAACACTGATTCATGGAGACTTCATGAGAGAGGGCCAGATAAATTGTCAAAGGAGCTGACAATAGGTTGTGGGATGGCTCCTGAGGCATGTCTAGAAGGGCCAGCAGGCTGTTTATATGTGGATATGGGTGTGGGTGTACAAGGGTACCTATCTGTGGAAACATATTATTTTCCCTTTAAATCCAGACAGAGCAACTCTGTGAACCTAGCAAGCCAGTGCCTTTAAAGAGTGTCTGGGAAATGCATGCATACATTTCCTGGTAGGGTGATAGCAGACTGCATTCTTAATTTGTTATTTATACTCTACCCAAAACCTAGTGGGCATCTAATAAATGGTTGTGATTACCCTTAATTACTATTCTATTTGGTATGAGGTTAAATTTACTTGTATTATCTAGCATTCCTCAAAGTTAGATCTCAAATGGATAGATGTTCCTTAAAAAAATTGTTTTAAATATATCAGAGTCAAATAAAATGCTGTTTACTCTGGCTCTTTCCGGGAAATTTCCTGATGTATACAAGCATCATATCGGTTCTGAGAAATTTTACAGTAAAGAAATATGCTTCCTTTTAATGCAGTATTTCCTAAGCCTACTTGGCCACAGAACACTTTTCCATATAATAGAAACTTTGGGAAATGTTGAAACGACCTGATTCAATTCTGACTTCTCTGCAAGCAAGGGATAATTACCCCCATTTCTGAGGTAAGAAAATAGAAACCCATCCAGTAGGTGGAGGAGCCACTGCTAGACACCCAAGTCTCCGCCTCCAAAATAAGAACTCTCACATTTCTAAAACACTGAGCTATAAAAGCCACACCATCACAGGCACTATGTCTTTTGCTTTTCATTTTAAAATGTATAGGTGAAACTAAATGTTAGTAGAATTAAGTGACTTGGCCAAAACCACAGAGCTCCTTAGGAGTGGACAAGGGGATAGGCCTACATTCACTAATTTGTAAAAATCTGTGAATGGAGAAACAAGCTGCTGTGGATGGTCATAACTGGTCTGAGTGCACACCTGCCTGACCTAAGAACCAGCCCAACAACCAGCCCAACAGAACCGACCTTTCATGCATTTAGGGTGAGCTGCAGGAATGCAACTGTTACTTCAGAGCTCAATAGCTCAATCTCAGTCCATTCACACTGGCAACAAGCTGGCACAACCCTCACTGAACTGATGGAAACAAAAATCTGGCCACTTGGAGATTATAATCACTCTCATGAAAATGACTGTTCAGCAGCAACTCCTATTCTCCCAAAGGAAACAACAGTGCAGGCAAATGTTCTTTAGGATCGGCACACGCCCGCAGCAGCGCTCTCTCCATCAGGACCTCCCTCTAACATTTCTCTGGCATAAGTGAGTGTCGGATGGAAGCATCCCCCAGGCTTGCCAAGTGCCTCCCCTCGCAGCCCCCCTGCTGTTCTGCCAGTAAGTAGCATCTGAACGAGAGAGAGGCAAGTCATCCTGGCCACATGGCACCAGCCCGGACCTGGGAAGGTGAGCCTGGTTCCAGCCAGCAGCAGCCCCCCCCACACACACACCCTGCTGCCCCTCTCCCAGAAACCCAGATCACGTCTCATGTCTCACCAATTACAAAGGTTGCTCAGGGAGTGCCTGTCGAGGGAAAGTGGGATGAGCATCTGGAGACCATTATAGGATAGAGATAGGCATCTTGCCTTAGAAATCGGCATCAAGCCCAAACTGTGTTAATTCCTGCAGCACAGCCTACCACAGGGCAGCAGGACTGCCAGAGGAGGAGAAGGGAGAAAAAGGAAAGTCTATAGGGTATGTTTCCCTGAAGGCGGTTTTTTAGCTGAGTTTTTTCCGTGGGGTTTACTATACTGCCCTGAATTCTTATACTCACATACTTTTTTTTTTTTTTTAAAGCAAAGCAGGACATACAAAAGAACAGCAACTATGTTTCCCAATTCATGTCAACTCAGTAAAAAATGTATTCAGCACTCCAGAGTGTCAGACTCTGTGCTAGGCACCATGAGACTGTCACGACAGAGTGACAATAAGATAAAGAAGGTAAGACAGGACCAACAGGTGGTCTTGAAACTGTATTGTGCAGGTGTTACAATGGAGCCTAAGAGACTGCAATGGAGTTTGGGGTGGTGACAGGCTGAGGGCTTGGGGTTCTCTCCTGCTCACTCCCCTCTCATCCACTCTCCCCACCAACCTCCGCAGCTCCACTATGGCCTGGTCTCTAGGTCTCTTTGCAGGGAGAGCTGTTGGGACACTTAATTTCTTGATTAATTTCTATAAATTTCTTAATTTCTATAAATCCCTCAGGAATATTTGAAGGTACTTTCTGTAGGCCTGGTCAGGGAACAGAACTCTTATTGAGCATGTGAAGACAGAGGCCAACATTGATTGCCCTAATGGGTTCTGGCAGAGGAAACACACTTGAGCGAATTGTTTGCTGAGAGCTTTAGAGCGTGCCCCAGCGCTGGCCAGGCCTGGCACAGCCTCAAGTACCAACTTGCTGCCTTTGACAGTTGGCTGTGGCAGCTGCTGAGATAAGCCCCAGAACACCCTGAGGTGTGGATGCTTCTGGTGCCAACCATTATGGTGAAGGTTGCCTCTGGGACTCATGCACAGGAATGAGGAAGGTTCTCAAACACTTTCCCCACAGACATGTTTGGGGAGGCTTTCAACCTCGTAAGCTGTGGACATCTTGAATGCTGCAGAGACCTGCAAGAAGCCCAGGGACAGTCTATCCTGTGACTGTGTTTCCTTAGGCATACGTTGTTCACAGGTGGGAGGCAGCATGTCAAAGACATTGGGTGTCCTGGCTCCACTGCTGTCTTCCTTGTGACCTGGGGCAGGCGAGTGACTCCTCTATTTTCTCATCTGAGAATCAGGGGGCAGTATGCTTCCTATCTCACAAGCTTGGGGGTGTTAAATTAGCCACATGAAGTGGTGAGCATATTAGGTAGGTACCTGATATATTTCAGCCATTTTTAGTATTTTAACATTATTGTTAACACAGCTGATAGGAACAACTCCATAAAACCCAAGGAAATGTCCCATCACAGCAATAACCCATTTGATGGTCTCGATCTGGAAGTAAGGCTAGTCAAAAAGAAAAAAACCAAAAATCAAAAACCCAAAAAAACCACAAGACAAACAAAACAACGAAAACCCACCACAGCAACAAAACAAAAAAACTACAGCAGATAGAAAGAACTGCTATGTTGACAGCAATGCTCTATCTTCTCAAGAACAGCATGAAGAATTTTTTTTTTCAGATGCAAAACATGTAAGTGCAAGAAACTTCTCTCCTTAGAGATTCACCAGATGGAAGCTCTTTTCGAAGGAATTTCAAAATCTATAAATGTAGCACAAACAGGGTCAGGTGTAACCCTGTATCAGTTGTCATCACGTTCTTGATGGCCCTTAAGGCCCAGTCTGCCTGAGTTCCAGTGATATTTTATTAGCTACAGGAATTGCATTTCAGAATGTGTTTTGAAGGAAAATGTCATGAGCTTATCTTTCCAGGGGCCAAGGCAGCAATCAAAGAATCAGCTCATGACTCATGTTATATCCCTCATCCAAGCACATTTCCTCCTGCAATCCCCTGGCTGCTGTGGAGGTTTGGGGAAAGGTGTGAGCGTTCATCCCTCCTAAGTCACGTGAACTCAGCACACCTCTCATTTCACAGCTGTCTGCCATTGCCACAGTAATGGAAGTTCTATTTGTACTGGCTTCTCCACCCAATCTGGAAATAGCAAAATGTGGCAGAGTTGCTTCTGGGTACCAAAAATAATGTTACAAGCCTGTGAAAATGAATACTTATGACTTAATGAAATCTGTGGCCATAATGTGTATTTGCTAAGAAAATTAAACTTAGGTGCCTCCTTTAAACAGAATGATAGGGGAGAAATGCTTGAATAAATGAATGTTTACTTTAAATATGTGTCATCAATGCAAACCACAATTTCTAAGATACTTTCAATCATGAGAATGCTACTGAAGAGATTTGGTAAATTTAGAACCATGGTTGAGGATTAAAGGGATGCATCTTAGCAGGCAGATCATTTTACCTTCCTTTGAAAACACAGTAAAGTTATAAGGATGGAAGCTGGTGGGGGGCAGACTGCCTGGGTCTGAACCCAGCTGTTACTTAACTGTGACCTTAGGAAGTCTCTACAACTCCGTTTCCTCATCCATAAAATGGGGATGATAATACTACCAAAGTCATGATGTTGCTGTAAAGAATAAATAAGTTAATATTTTTGATATATTTAAACCTATGGTTATGGCAACATTTCATCTAAATATTAACAGCTGCTACCATTACTATTTATTACTGTTACATTATCACGCTTATCATCAGATTCTCCCATTCTTCTTCCTGGGGCTGCCCTAAAGTTCCTTACATCAGCAACATTACCAGGAACATTTTAAGGCCAGAGATGTCCTCTCCAGAAAATCATTATAGCATCTCCTTAACCACTGACCTGTATTAACATTTCAGTCTGATTGAAAGTCACCTTAAAGGAATTCTGAGAGGCTGAGATAGAAAGCAGGAATATTAAATGAGGAGTAGTTTGTCTTGAGACAAGGGGTGATGTACAGAGTTAACTTGCTATGCTATTTTGCTCCCCCCAGGAGGAGGTCATTTGGCAATGTCTGCAGGCATTCTGGGCTGTTACAATTAGGAGGGGGAGGGGCTACCGGCAGCTGGTAGGTAGAGGCCAGGGGTGCTGCTAAACATTTCACAATGCTCAGTATGGTGTCCCCCGCCCCCTCCCCGCCAGCAAAGAATCATCCAACCAAATGGCAACAGTGCCAAAGGTTAGAAACTCCACTAGGGTAGACTTTGGAAAGAAAAGCAGTCTGGCTCCACAGGAGGTTCCGCTTTATGATGGATATAGTTTACAAAGGTCCTGGCCTACTTTAAAATGACTTTGGGGGATGCTACTCCTAAAGAAGTAGTAGTAATTTATTAGCAAGCACACTCGGTTCCCAGAGAGAGAAGACTAAAGAGCCAGTCCCCAAGCACCTATATAGTTTTCATTCATTTTAGCACTGAGGAGGCTACTGCCTTCAATATTTTCATTTCATGCACTGAAGCATCTGTACATGCTAGTTCTGAGCCTGGAGATGGTTCTCCAAATATAACGTGTCTAAGACATGCCCAACAAATTCCTTTCCTCTTCTTCCCAAACATGCCTATCTTCCCTACCTCGGTAAATGCTTTGACCATCTTCTCTGTTTCTCAAGGCCTCAGTCTAGGCAACATCCTCCTCTTCTCTTCCCCTCACACTCACATTCAGTCCTCAGGAAGATCCTATGGCTACCACCTTCGAAATACATCTTGAATGCTCCTCTCTTGTCTACTGCCACTACCCTTGCCTGACCGCTGTCAATAACTTCCTAAATTGCCTCTCCATTGTTAATCTTGCTAATCTCTAATTAATTCTCCACACAATGATCTAAGTCATCATTTAAAAAATAATAATTAAAGGCTCTGGCTCTTGAGATCCTTTGTTGGCTTCTCACTAATGTTTCAAATAAAATTCATACCCTTTACTATGGCCTGAAAAAGTCTTCTATCAGGGGGTCTCAAAGAGTGTACCCAGCAGTGTCCTACTGGATCAGAGACTCCAGGTGTGAGACCCCGCAATCTGGGGTGATGGTGATGCATACTGGTTTGAGAGCCAGTGCTTATGTGATCTGGCTCTCCTCTTTTCTGATCATATTCTAATCAAAAGGGTTTCTTTGCAATTCCTTCACCATGCCAAGGTTTTTTCAACTTCAGGTCCTTACACAGTCTGCTCTAACTGCCTGGAATACATTTCCCACCCCTTCTCAGATACTTCCTCTGACCCCTATTTCTCATGTAGATTTCTGCCTCCACCTTAAATTCTCTGATAGTGTTCTTCATAGCACTCCTATCATAGTTGTTTTCTATCTTTTTTTTTTCTGTCTTACTTGTTTTTCTGGCTCTTCCACTAGTCTGTAACCTCCATGATGTCAAGACCATGTCTTGTTTGTTAATGTATATGCAATGAATACTACAGTGGGGGGTACATAGTAGATGATCAATCCAGAGGGTTTGAATGCATTATTACCCTACAGTACTTCCAGTAGAGCACAGGGAGACACAATGTGTGGCATCTGCCCCCATTCCACCATTTGAATGAGGACAGATATAGCTCTCTGACCTCCACAGTCCTTCCCCCTTACACCTGGCTATGGCTTCAGAATTTGTTATGACACTTTACTGCAAGCACACACACACACACACACACACACACACACACACAATTGGAGTTGTTACTTGCAGTGGATATGGAAGAAAATACTCTTCGATTCTCTAAATAGTATTTCAGTAATTTAATTGCTAATATTATTTATGTGCCTGACATTGTGCTAATATTTCACAAGCATTATATTATTTATGAACACTATATGAAATGTCCAATAATGATTCCCACTTACAGTTGAAAAAACTGAGCTGCAGCATCTGTCCAAGATGCCACGGTAAATGGCAAAGAGGGGATCTAAACCCAGGATGGCCTAGCTGTGGCGCCTGAGCTCATTGGTGAATCCCTTCATTGTGGTAAGAAAAATATGTGCTATACAGGTCGTCAGTGAGGAGCCCATAGCAGAGCACCTTGCCCAGGTGGAGGTACCAGAGGGAATCCTAGAGGAGTTTTGAGGCACGAGTGAGTCAAAAGCATAAAAAAACAGAGAAGCAGGGAAGCAGAGGCATGAACCCTTTATTCACACCTACTTCTTTCTTTTTTAAAATTTTTTTATTTTTAAAGAAGGAGAGGGAGGAGGGGAAGGGGGAAAGTGAGAGAGAGATTCCTAGGCAGGCTCCATGCCCAACACAGAGCCCTCCTCAGCGCTCCATCTCACAACCCTAATATCATGACCTGAGCCAAAATCAAGAGTTGGAT